GCTGGGCAGAACAGAGCTTCCCCAGGCAGCCTGTGGCCATGAATGAGGTTTTTCATTAGTCCAGGGTGAAAATGTCAGGATAAGAATGGCACCTCTCTTTTCCTGGGAAGACAGACCCTTTCTCCCTACTAAGAGTTTGCCATTCCAACTTCTTTGCATTTTCTTGTATGCAACAATGATGATGGCAAACACTGCTTCTTATAGCTTTTTTTCTTTCTTTTTAATGTCAATAAAATGGAGTCACCCTCATCTCAGTATCCTACGATTCTCTACATTGGTCTGGGAACAACTGCTATAGTTAAGAAAGAAAGTAAAGTAAACAAACAAAAACAAAATTCTTTTTTTCCTACCGTTCTACTTTCCTTAACCACCTGCCATAAGCCTAAGCAAGGGATCCAGTAATATTTATTTACATGTGCCCTGTTCCAAAAAGGATTAAGGTAACAGATGGATTTATACAAGGAGGTTATCACTTCTTTTAAGGCCAGATGGGAGTGTAACCTGATGTTGCTCATTCCTGGGCTGAAACGACAAGAGGGTTTGGCTCAAATACTTTTGTTGATGAGTAAAAAAGAACAGACTGAGAAATGCCAGGTCAGGAAGCAGATCAGAGCAAACTGACTTGTTAGGGCCGGGGATTTTCCTCCTCTATGGAGAAGTGTGTCCCTTTGGGGTTGGCAGGGGTAATCAAAGCAGAGCGGGACAGAACGCCCAAAGAGAATGCTGCTTTCTCATCTCTTCTCCGCATCGCAGGTGAGCAGTTCAGAGATGACACAAGCCCTGGATAAATCCTGAAGCTACAAAGAAAAATCGAATAAAATAAACTCCTTATAGGAAAATGATATCCAAAGACTCGGGTGACTCACTCAAGATCACAGAGCCAGCAATGACCCAGTGAGAATCAGAATCTGGGACTCCTGACACTCAGGTAGGAGTGCTTCCCACTATTCCACAGTGGAAGAAATTGAGAAATGACCGAGGAGGGTGGGGTGTGAGGGAGCATGAGCTTTTGAGTTTTAAAATAACCAACTTTCATCTGGTTCTTCCACGCACCAAGCAGCTGTACAGCCACTTGGCACTGGCATCTGACTCTTGGTTTTCTCAACTGTGAAATGGGCACACGACATCAACACTAACCACATCAGACCGATGGGAGAAGGAAATCAGATAATATATGTGGAAGAATGCTGAGATTCCTTAGGTAGCAGTTAATTAGAATCATGTAGAAAAACAATCTGTATAATCTCATTTTTTAAAACATCTTTTTAGAAATTCATGAACAGGAATTGGCCATATTATCATACGCCAGTGTAATGTATAACAGAGTCTTTTCTTCCTTTTTCTTCAAAATCTAAAATTTACATCCATTCTGCCCAGTTGTATAAAGACAGGCAGAAAGTATGGTTGGCGGTAATGACCATAGAAAGCCTTTAGGGTCTTTAGTCCAACAGGTTTCTCAATTCTCCCCTCATTTGGGACTATGTGTTGTATGAGGTTCAAAACTCACCAAGCACTTCCCTACCCCTGGAGCTCAGATGCTGGACCATTTAGTATGTTAACTCAGTGAGTCCATTTTTGACCATGAGTTTTACTGTAGACCAGTAAAGTTTTACTGTAAAGACCATAGAGTTTTACTGTAAACCAGTAATTGGGCGAGGTGCTATACCCAATAGTGAGGACCCAGATAGATATACGACCTGATCCCAACAATGCCCAATCAAGGACTTCAGCCAAAGAGGTAGGGAATTATATTTTAAATGAAATGCTCCACCAAGGAATGAGGGACAAGGTTTAACTTGTTCAGATCACCACTACACAATCCAGTGCAGTGCAGGTGACAGGTAACTTAGGTAATCCCGACAGATGCGATCCTAATAGTGCTCACAAATGAAACAAGACAAAACTGGAGTAGAATATAGTTTGCCTGAGAGAAAAGGTCCCCAGGTGCCATCTAAGCAAACTAAAAGCAGAAGTTACTCCTAAATTCCTACATCACTTCTTTATTTCAAACTCAGATCTTACTAGATGCAAGGAGAATGAGCTTTTTATTGAGGAAATCTCCTTTGAAAAACCTTCACATAGCTCTTAATTAGTAGCAGTTCTTAATAGCATTTAATTATTATGCTATAATTTAATAAATCAAGAAAATATCTATACAAAGAAATGAGAGAGAGAAAGAGAGAGAGAGAGAAAACTTTTTGGTACAGAAACCAAAGGAATAAATGACAATAATAGTCTTCCAAGATGAAGACCCTTGGTTCTCTCCCCTCACCACCTTCATACTTAGCTCTCTATAACTATATCAAGATCACACTTGCCCTAAATTTACTGCCTCCTGCGTGAAATTATCTCCCTCTTATCTCTGGACCCCAGACCCTTGACTCGATATAAATTGGAGATTTACATGGTCTTTAAAGTTTTCTTAAGCCTGATATTTTAAAACGTACCAACTCCTGACAGCAACAAGAAAAACAGTTCCAGAAGACACAAAACCTAGTTGAAGTACATTGTTAGAAAACATACTGCCTTCATTTTAAAAAGCTGATCAAATAAAACAAAAATCACAAACACACACCAACAATCCATAATTCACTTACTTGCCCATCTCTGACAGCCCAGCACAGCGAGAGACCAGCAGAGGAGACTCTGATGAGGTTTTCAAGGCTGCAGGGAGGGTCAGCAGAAGAAAACCCCGCAGAAGTCATTCTTTGCTTAACTCCAAAGACCACACTTCCACAGGGAGAGACAGAACTGAACAGACTCCACCCCCTCCTCAAGTTCGGATTGCAGCAAACCTCTGCAAGTTCATTGTTCCCAGGGAACTTGCAGTCTCAGGAAGGGAGAAGGGAAGTGGGTCCATTTGGACACCCAGGCAAGCACGACATTAATCATTAACCAGACTTGGAGGAATAAATCTATAAAGTAATCCTGGACAGTACAGTGTTCTCCAGCCTTTCTATAAATGCCTCTTTCATTTCTTAAAAGAAAGAAAAACAATATGTGGTAAGTTTCCAGCTGTGTTTATTTCAAAGCAATCTGTTCCCCCTAGGAAGGCTGCCAGCACCTGATGCTAACACTGAACACTGTGTTTAAAGAAAAAAAAAAAAAAAAAAACGGGAGGGAGCAATGAGAATAATAAAGCGAAGCGGCCGACTATGTTAAACGGTCTTTCCCCTTGATGTTCTAAAGTGCCAAAGAAAAAAAGTCAGAAAATGGGCTTTATATGATGTCTCGTGCTAGCAACAAGCCTTCTCAGAATTCTGTGTATTTCTGCAGATCTCAACAAGCCTTGCCCTCTGATTGGTACAATCTGCAGAGGGGAAGGCCTCGTCAGCCTGATTGGGTCCATGCAACAGAATATTGCATCAGCCCGGGTCATACCTATGCCTACAGTCTCTGAAAATATTGTAGTCCCAACACCACACACATCTATTTGCAAAATTTCATCTTCAACCAAAGCTGGGTCATTATAATCCTGGCCTGGGAGCAAACTGGTACTGGAAAAAAAGAAAACCTTGCCAAGAGTCAGAAAATATTTACCAGGCCACAGAAATGTTCGCTAGCTTTGACCATACCAAAAATGATGGGGTACACAAGAGGTCTTGCTCGGCACCCACTTGCAGCGTGTGAGCACAAAGAGCTTCTCTGATGTTCCTCATTACATAAAACAGAAGACCGCGTTCCAATGCCAACTCAAACAGCACGAGAAGCCCACACGGTCAACAGAAGGTGGCATCGTGAGGATATGCTGATGCCTAAATATTTGTCAGCTTGGCCGAGAGTTGGGGGGCATGATTATGAGGGTTTATGGTTACTGACGCAGCATCACAAAGGATGGCAGTACTTCCAGTGCCAAATTTATTTTAAAAATCTGTTTCCCAATATGAATGGGGTTTCCAGCCAAGTAACTGGCAACCTGGAGGCGTTGGCTGCCCTCTCCTTACTACTTGTCTCTAGGCTTGAGTTCCAAGGGTAGTTGGCAATAAAATCGGCAGAGAAGTGTCATTCGATGTTATTAAACTGCAGGGATTGCAAGCAAAGCAACTGCCCGAGCGGGGCAGAGGAAGGGGAGTGGAGGGAGAAAGCTGAATTTACTACAGTGATATCAAAGTGAACAGGAACCGTTCCAGCCCTGAAACCACTGGAACTCAGACTCCACCAAGAGTGGACACATTTCTTCAGAATTACATAAAGTTTAGGGAAGAAACGCTAAAGACCTCATTTTATTTATTTTTTGTTTTGAAAAAAATAAATGTATTTCAGGTTATCATGAGGGTACAAACAACCAGGCCCAAATATTTGATTTTGTTAGGTAGAGTGCCTCTTGTGGTTATGTCCTGCACTCAAAAGGTATGCGGAACATCTCCTACCCGACACCCCGCCCAGCCATGCCCATTCAGTGAGAGCACCCCAACCCCCTCCCTCCCACTTGAGTTGAAAAGCCTTTTGCGTTTTTCTCTTATGTGGGCATGCATCAGATGGTCTACTGGCTTCATAATAGTATTGAGTATGTTGGATAATTGCTTTTCCATTCTCGTGATACTTTACTAAGAAGAATGTATTTCGACTCCATTCAGGATATTACAAAACATGTGAAATCACCATCTGTTTATGGCTGACTACTAGCCACGTGGTGCATGAGGTGTACACATACCACAATTTGTCAATCCATTCCTGAGTTGATGGGCATTAGGTTGTTTCCACGTCTTGGCGATTATAGATTGAGCTGAGATAAACAATCTAGTGAAAAAGTCCTCATGATAAAATTATTTTTTTTCCTACTAGATGCCTAGTAGTGGGATTATGGGGTCAAATGGGAGGTCTCATTTTAAACATTGAATTCCCTTTGATTTCAAGGAATTGGAATCAACCTCCAAGGACCTTAGCTTTCCCTACATTGTTCCTTCCACCTGGGTAGGCTCTGGCCCTCTTGTGACAAGATCTAAACCTTCCAAATTTGGAAACTTCCCAGACCTTCCTAAGCACAGCCTGAGGATCTCTGTCAATACATCCCAGCATTTCACACAGGGCTAGAATACAATATGAGCTCAAGGCAACTGCGCCAAAGCTCTGATATTTTAGCCTAAAAATGTCCACTCTCTCTAGAACAGATCTCCATGGACATCCTCCATTTATTTTCCTCACAATCCACGTCAAATCCCAGCTATACCACTTATTACGGATGTGACCTTGAGGACATTTCTTGTCTTAAACTAAGTTTTCACACCTGCAGGAAGTAATGTACAATCTCCCCAGGTCATTGAAAGACTCACTTAACCCAATGTATGTGGAGACGTCTAGCCGTGTCTGGTATAATATAGGTGCTCAGTAAACACTTTTCCTCCTTTCTATGTTTGTGCCTGTATTTTTAAAATATGAGCTAAGCAGAATGACCCCTGTATGGTCACCTTGTTTCTTCAAATTGTGTCCTCTGTTCTTCCTCTTCTGTGATTTATGCTAAAATTACATCTTTTAAACATTTCCTCAATCGTGCACCACACTGTCTTGGTTCCCACTGACTCTGGGAACTTCTCTGGGTCTACAGACTCATGAGTTCTGCAAGTGAGTGTAAGGAGTACTTATAATTTTAGGTTGCTTCAGCATCTGTGTTTAAGTATAAGTTAAAGGTTCTCATACCAACAGCAGGGCTCAGTCAACCTTGACATGGTTTCTCATACCAGACCCCACCAGAATGGCTCCAGCTGGTGGTCAGACATAAACCTTACAGGTATCGCTCCTGCCTAGTGGGCCAGGTTCCGGGTCTTCCTGCCACTGCCTTTAAACTGACCATGCAGCCCCTGGATATAAAACATAAAGTGACCACCTCTCAATCAGAGCATAACTTTCTGGAACTAGCTCCTGCTTTCTTTAAACTCAATTAAAGCTCCCTGCAGAAAATCTGTTCCAATAATACCCTGTACCAAATAAAGGCATAGGACCACGAGTCCCTTCTCTCTCTCCCTGTCTCTACATGTACTCTCTATTTCTGTGTGTGTGTGTGTGTGTGTGTGTGTGTGCGCGTGTGCGGCCTCCATGTGTTCTAGGTACCCTCCAGGGTCTATAAATACAAAAAACTCTTAAAATCTCACATTTTTCATACTGCGTTTGGGTCCCTAGAGCCACCCGAGAAACTGAACCCTGCCAGTGAAACTGCCCAAAACGGCCCCTTGAGGGTGAACACTCGCTGGAGTTCTTTGGTCCCAGCCCCTCAGGTGCTTGAGATAGTAATTACCAACGAAGCTGACAATTTCATTCAAAAAAGAGGTTTAGAATCTGTATTAAAAAAAAAAAAATGCTCCACAAGTAGCTGAGATCCCAGTCAGGGTCAAGAATTCCTCACTTACTGTATATCTAATACATTTAAATTTTCAGACTTAATGGCAGCGCCCATAACTCAGTGGGTAGTGTGCTGGCCACATACACTGAAGCTGGAGAGTTCAAGCCTGGCCAGGACCAGCTAAAACAACAATGACAACTGCAACAACAATAACAAAAAAAAAATGGCCAGGCACTGTGGCGGGCACCTGTAGTCCCAGCTACTTGGGAGGCTGAGGCAAGAAAATTGCTTGGGCCCAGGAGTTTGAGGTTTCTGTGAGCTATGACGGCAATCTACCCTAGAGTGACAGCTTGAGACTCTATCTCAAAAAAATAAAATAAAATAAAATTTCAGACTTGAGAAGTCATCTATGTTTTCAGTGGCAAAGAATGAAGCCATATTTAGGTTTCAGAAAAAAAAGGTCACAAGATTAATCACGTAACAAGATACCACTAATATCTACAGAATATTAACTGTGGTACACACATACACAAACCCATATACACACACAAACCCACATACACACACACACACGCCTTGATGTTTCAAGCCTCCAGACTTTGTTCACATTTTTCCTGGAATGCCCTTATTACTTATCTTCCCCATCAACTCAGCTGGAACAAGTTCTTCTCCCAGTAGCCTTCCAGAAAAGCCCACAGTACAGCCAGCGTCCCTCCTCTGTGCTTCCACAGTGCCCCGGGCACGCCCACAGTGCCCTGGACCAGCCCACAGTGCCTGGGACACGCCCACAGTGCCTCGGACACGCCCACAGTGCCCTGGACAAGCCCACAGGCCTCGGACACGCCCACAGTGCCCGGGACAAACCCACAGTGCCTCAGACACGCCCACAGTGCCTCGGACACGTCCACAGTGCCTCAGACACACCCACAGTGCCCTGGACGAGCCCACAGTGCCTCAGACACGCCCACAGTGCCTCGGACACGCCCACAGTGCCTCGGACACGCCCACAGTGCCCTGGACAAGCCCACAGGCCTCGGACACGCCCACAGTGCCAGGGACAAACCCACAGTGCCTCAGACACGCCCACAATGCCTCGGACACGCCCACAGTGCCTCGGACACGCCCATGGTGCCCTGGACGAGCCCACAGTGCCTCAGACACGCCCACAGTGCCCTGGACAAGCCCACAGTGTCCTGGACCAGCCCACAGTGCCCTGGACGAGCCCACAGTGCCCTGGAGCAGCCCACAGAGCCCTGGACCAGCCCACAGTGCCTCAGACACGCCCACAGTGCCCTGGATGAGCCCACAGGCCTCGGACACGCCCACAGTGCCCTGGACAACCCACAGTGCTTCAGACACGCCCACAGTACCTCGGACACGC